CCGGTGTCCCACCCCCGCCCATCCTGCCACCTCTGCCACCCTTCCCGCCCGGGCTGTTCCCCGTGATGCAGGTGGACATGAGCCACGTGCTGGGCGGCCAGTGGGGCGGCATGCCCATGTCCTTCCAGATGCAAACTCAGATGCTGAGCCGTCTGATGACCGGCCACGGCGCCTGCCCCTACCCCCCCTTCATGGCTGCTGCGGCGGGGCTGCAGTTTGTCAACCTGCCCCCCTACCGGAACCCCTTCTCCCTGGGCAACACGGGCCCAGGGCGTGGGCAGCCCTGGCCACCCCTGCCCAAGTTCGACCCATCAGTGCCGCCACCAGGCTACATGCCACGCCAGGAGGACCCCCACAAGGCCACCGTGGACGGTGTCCTGCTTGTGGTGCTCAAGGAGCTGAAGGCCATCATGAAGCGCGACCTGAACCGCAAGATGGTGGAGGTGGTGGCCTTCCGGGCCTTCGACGAGTGGTGGGACAAGAAGGAGCGGATGGCGAAGGTGAGTGGGCAGTGCCAGGCCCCAGGGTCGTGAGCGGACAGGCCTCGCCAGCACCCTCTCTTCTCCCAAGACACACGACTGGGAACACTGCTGTGCCCTCAAATGTCGTTTGTGAGACGTGTGTGTCAGTAACACCGATGTTTTTGGGGAATCACAATCTCCGAGTGGGAGGCCACGGCCTGGCATAGGTAGCTGGAGGAGTCCACTCGCCGGGGAGGAAATCGAGGTTCGGTGAGGCAGAGAATACGGGGTGTCCCGAGTGGTGGCATGGAGGCAGGGAGCGGCCAGTCACCCTGCGGCTGTCAACACTGGCAGAAGGCAGGCTGCTTGGGGGCCACCCAGGGGTGTTGCCGGCAGCACCCTAATCACGGCGACTCCCCTCTCGCACCCCAGGCCTCGCTGACCCCGGTGAAGTCGGGCGAGCACAAGGACGAGGACCGGCCGAAGCCCAAGGACCGCATCACCTCGTGCCTGCTGGAGTCATGGAGCAAGGGCGAGGGCCTGGGCTACGAGGGCCTGGGCCTGGGCATCGGGCTGCGAGGGGCCATCCGCCTGCCCTCCTTCAAGGTCAAGAGGAAGGAGCCTCCGGACACAACCACGTCTGGAGACCAGAAGCGGCTGCGGCCCTCGACCTCCGTGGACGAGGAAGACGAAGGTCTGTGTCCCCCCATCTCCCAGCAGGTCCTGGGGTCTCCTCCGTCCCTGTCCTCCTCGCCCACTGACACCCTCCCTCCCCACAGAGTCAGAGCGCGAGCGGGACCGGGACATGGTAGACGCCCCCTGCGAGCTCGCCAAGCGGGACCCCAAGGGCGTGGGGGTGCGGCGGCGGCCGGGCCGGCCCCTGGAGCTGGACAGCGGCGGGGAGGAGGCCGAGAAGGAGTCGCTGTCCGTGTCCTCATCCTCATCGGCGTCCTCCTCCTCGGGGTCCTCAACAACCTCACCCTCGTCCTCGGCCTCCGACAAGGAGGGGCAGGACAGCACGGAGGAGGAGGAGGAGGAGGAGGAGGAGGAGGAAGAAGAGGAGGAGGAGGAAGAGGCCCCTGGAAGCCCGATCTCCTCCTCCTCCACCTCCTCCATGTCAGATAAGGTGCCATTCGGGGTGGGAAGGCCTGGGGTGCCAGGCTGGGCGAGGGGGCCCCGCGCTCACCCCTCCACTTCTCCCCCAGGATGATGACAATGACGACAGCGACGGCCAGGACGACTCTAAGAACGAAGACGAAGACTTGGCCCTGTCGGAGGCGAGTGACAAGGAGGAAGGCGACTCGGACGGAGGTGAGCGGGGCAGGCTGTGGCCCGGCCCGGCCAGGGTCCCTCTGCGGGCCGAGCCTGAGCATGAGTCACCAACACTTTGTGGGCACAGTGTCTCGCCTTTGCAATGTGAACTCCTTTAAGCACACGCTCCACATACCCTGTGGGCCTGTCCATGTGAAATGTACAGAAAGGGGCAGTCCCTGGGGCCGGGAAGCAGACCAGTGGTTGCTGGGGCAGCGGGTGGGGGCGGGGTAAGAGCTAAAGGGGGTGGGTTACTTCTCGAGCTCGTGACCAGGTTTGGGACGGAGGCGGCGGTTGTACACATTGCCAGTGTGCTCAGTACCACAGAATTCTCTACTTTAAAATGGTTGGTTCTCTGTTATGTGGCTCTTACCTCAATTTAAACAACTGCTGACTAGTTTACACCCATTGCCCCACGTTCCTGAGGGTCCCCCTTTGAACCCTCTGCTGGCGCACCTGGCGGGGGCGCAGCAGGAATGACAGGCCCCCTCCTGTGTCCCCGCCCAGAGGAGACCGCCAGCATCGCCACCCGCAAGGCTGGGGCTGGGTCCTCCAGCGAGAGTTCGGAGTCTTCGGAGTTTGAATCAAGTTCCGAGTCTTCGTCGTCGTCCTCGGAGGATGAAGAAGAGCTGGTGGCCGGGGAGGAGGAGGAGGAAGAGGAGGCCACCACAGATGAGAGCATGGCTCCCGCCATTCCCGAGGAGAACTTTGAGGAGGAGGTGGCCACGAGGGCACCCGTGATGGAGCCCTTGACGGAAGAGGAAGTGGACATCGAGGCTGAGGACGAGGTCCCTGAGGAGCGGACCCTCACGTTGGAAGAGCCGCCCCTGCCTGTGGGTGTGAAAGAGCCCCCCAGGGAGCCAGGTCTGAACCAGGAAGTGGCCAGGCCACTGTCTCCAGAGCCTCCTGCGAAAGACACAGAGGCCCGCCTCCCAGCGTCCCCGGAGCCCCCCCGAGGTAACTGCCCCGGCCCCTGGGAGGTCCAGGATGAGCCAACTCCTCTGGGCGAATCACGTTACTGTCCCTCCTCTGCAAACTGGGATCGATGGAGAATGCGCCCACCATGGGGTGGGGTGGGAGGAGAGAAGGGGAAGGTGTGTGATGTGCCAGCATAGAGCCTGGCACCTGCTAGTGCCTCAGAGGGGACCAGCTGTCACCATTCCTCAGTGCCGGTGTTCCCACAGATTAGTCCTTGTCCCGTAGTCCCATGAGATGCTCCCCAAAAAGAGGGCCAGGCGTGCATGGTGGTTCAGTGACAGGCAGGTCAGGGAGACTCGGGTGCTGGGCCAGGTGAGAGCGGCCGGGGACACGGTCCGGATAGAGCTGCACGGAGTGTGTGAAAGGCTGGCCTGCGCTCCAGTAGAACTCCCCACAGCGATAGAAATGTTTGCTCTCTGCCCTGTGCAATCCGTAGCCACTCGACACAATGTTCTAAGAGCACTTGAAGTGTGGTGAGTAGCCTGTGGGACTGAGTTTGTAATGTTACTTAGTTTTAATTGATTTAAACTCAGCCAGGTGGTTAGTGGTTAGTTCGTACCTCTAATAAGTCCTTAGGAAAGAAGCCTGTTATATTGTGTTTAATTCTGTTGTTTGGCTACAGAACCACAAGTCTTTATTGTCACAAGTATTTTATTAAGACTTTATTGCATCCCCAGTACTGTTCTAGGTGTTAACAGGGCAACAGTGGACCAAACAAACAAACAAAAACATTTGCCCTCGTAGAGCTTTGATTCTAGGGCAAGGTGATAGATAACAGCTGATACATTAGAAAACACGGTATATATATATATATGACAATGGAGATAAATGCTTGGAGAAAACCTTAAACGCTCTGACAAGTCCTGCACAAAAGAAACTTGAATTTTATTCGATAGCAGAGCCCATTGTCTTGGTTCACAGGACATTCCCTGTTCACAGAACACTGTTCTAAAGACAGCGTCAAAGGCTTCCAACCATGTCTCCGCCTTTGATTTACTTGTAACGTTTATTAAGCACCTACTGTGTATCTGACACTGGGCTGGAGGCGGAGCAGTCCTTCAGGGGTTTAGCTGGGGGCACGGTCTTTATACTCAGAAGAGTCTTGGGGGACTCAGAGCCATGCATTGGTCAGGTATCAAGTGCATAGTAGGGCAGAAGAAGTAGGGCACTCAGGTGTTTGAATCAACTAACAGTGGCCTGGTTTTCACCCGTCTCTGCAGGGGAGGAGCTGGAAGCGAAGCCCGAGCCCCCTCTGCTGCTCTCCTTACCTCTGCAGCCACCATTGCCACCCCCTCGACCGCCCCGGCCACCTAGCCCACCGCCCGAGCCCGAGACCCCAGAACCCCCACACCCACCCGTCCCTCTGGAGCCTCCCCCTGAGGACCAGCCCCCACGTACGCCAGGCATTTGTGGCAGCCTGGCCAAGTCGCAGAGCACAGAGACAGTGCCGGCCACCCCAAGCGGGGAACCCCCGCTGTCGGGGGGCAGCAGCAACCTGTCCCTGAGCTCCCCGCAGGTGCCCGGCAGCCCCTTCTCCTACCCATCCCAGTCCCCCAGCTTGGGCAGCGGTGGCCTCCCGAGGACACCTGGCCGGGACTTTACCTTCACGCCCACCTTCCCCGAGCCCAGCGGGCCCCTGCTCCTGCCCATCTGCCCCCTCCCCACTGGCCGACGCGATGACCGGCCTG